CAGAGTCGCCGCCTCGAGTAAGATTCTTATGTGATATCTACAGGCCATATAGATCTATATCTGGTCCCGTTTCACTTTGATTACCCTGTCAAACAAGTCAGCCTTCGCCCCTGTGTTTGATAGAAAAGAAGGAGCAAACCACACCAGAGCACCCGCCCCACTCGAATATATGACTTCTGTTGCACTCATTTTCATTCCCTCCTGATTTGGAGAGAAAGATAAGGAGGCAGAGGCCAGTACTGCTGTGGAGAGGATGATGGTTTTTGGAGTGCAGGAAGGAAGGGGATAAACAGGCGCCCTTGCAGGAAAGAACAATTAAGAACGTTCAACCAGATCTTGATCGTTTGTTAGTGTTTGAAGCGCTTGATCACTTAATCACTCTGTATGCTTCCCGGGAAGCTGAGAATGTTTCTGGGTGTTCTGTGGTCTGCTGGGGTAATAATATAGTGTAAAGCACTTAGAGCTTGCTGCTGAGAAGGGGTAAGCATGGGCGCTATTCAAATGCTATATATTTTATAATTATTATTATAATTATTATTATTATTATTATTATTATTATTATTATTATTATTATTATTATTATTATTATTATTATTGTGTGCACCGGCACAATCAGTAGAAAGACCCTCAGCAACATTTTGGAGAGAGTTACAGAGCATCAAATCAAGGGATGTGTCCTGAATGCAAGAGAGTGCATCAGTGTGGTGGCGCTCATATGACATTACGCAGTTGCGAGCGCTGTAAACCCTTACTAAAACTAAAACCTTACTAAAACCTTACTAAAACTTTTCTAAAACCTTACTAAAACCTTACTAAAACCTTACTAAAACCTTACTAAAACCTTACTAAAACTTTACTAAACCTCCTCAGAGTGCATCAGTGTGGTCGCGCTCATATGACATTACGCAGTTACAAGCACTGTAAACCCTTACCAAAACCTTACTAAAACCTTACTAAAACTTTACTAAAACCTTAATAAACCTCCTCAGAGTGCATCAGTGTGGTGGAGTCCCAGCTGAGGTGTTCCGAGGGGACACAGCTGGTGCGGAGGTCTGGAGTAGGCTACTTCTGCAGCTCCCTGTACAGACAGCCACGCCGCGACCCGACCACCGTTGTCTGCCACCCGGGGGAGATTCTGTTGGTGGACGGAGACTCGGCAGTCTGCCGGAGTTTGACGGACAGAGCTGACCTGTGTGGGCCTGGGTTCAAGCCCCGTTCCAGACGTGATGGGAGCATTGTGTGTGCGGCCAGTAGTAAACCTTTGCTGGAGTGCCCTGAAGGTAATAGTAGGCTGTTGTTTTTTGTTTGTTTGTTGTTGTTGTTGTTGTTGTTGTTTTGTTTTTTTTGTTTGTTTGTTGTTGTTTTTTTTTTGGGGGGGGGGTTATTTCTGTGAAATGTAGGCTACTTTTTTCAGATTAAGATGTTCTTTTTCTCTGAGTACGGAATGTGTCAAAATGCCTCCAAAATTTTTAAAAATCTACTAGACTCCAAACTAAAGCATCAGTTTAATTTTTATCTAGAATAAAATGCATATTTTTGTTTTCTGAATAAGAATACATTTTCTTTGAATTAAGTGTTTCATTATTATTATGAGTTTACTATTATACTATATATAATGGAATGTGCTACTTTTCTTCCACACTGAAGCATATCTTTCTTTCCTGTATGAAAGCGATACGATTTTTGCCACAATAAAACACAGATTTTTTAATTTAAGTATGAAATAATTATTTCAACCTTCTCCCAAAATAAAGCATTTCGTCTGCAAGCTGTTAAAACACAGAGAGCGGAATTTGATAGGAAAGAGAAAAAATAATCTGTTTCATTCTTTAGACAATTAATTGTACAGACCTACACTGGATTTTTTAAAAATTTTGTTTTTCTCTTTTTGACACTTAGAATTTGAATTTCAGCAACATATTTGTTTCACGACATGGTGGAATTTTGCACTTGTCAATTTTTTGGCATATTGAGTTAATCATGGTACCATCTTAAAGCTTGTTCCTTTGTCTTGCTTTCAATTAAAAAAAAAAATTACCCAATATATCTTCAATAGAAGTGGATATACTTTTTTAAAAATTGAAATTTTAGGCTTTTTATTACGTTTAAACAGCTGGACCATGATATAGCTGTAGAGTTTTTAAAAGAATGAAACGTATCGATGTTCTTCCAGGGTTCTATCTTTCCGTCTCTGGTGGCCGATCTGAATGTGTTCCGTCGCAGCCTCACCTTGACCTCTGCAGTGATGAGGAGTTTGTGAAGCTGTTCGGTAATCAGGTCAACTGCTCTGCTGGAAACTTGTCCGCCATTCTCGTCCCATGTGAGGAAGGATACGAAGTGGAAGACGTTGTAGACGATGGAGAAGAAGGTAAAGAGATAGGTTGGGTTTTAGAGAATTTAAAAAGCTGGAGGATATTGACTACAATTCAAAGGATTTGCGGAAAGTTGTGGAGGTGGTTGGCTTCTCCCTCTCCTTGCGAAGAAGGGTATTAATGGAAGATGATGGAGAGTGTCATGAAGAAGGTAACGAGACTGGTGGGGTTGAGGGGAACTGAAAAGGCTAGACATAATAATAAATAATAATAAATAATAATAAATAGTATTTGTTTGGCGCTATGGGCTTTACAGTCTCTATTGATGCAGTTGAGATTTGAAAAAAATAAATAAATAGAGATAATAATAGGTAGCATTTGTATTTGTACAGTGCAAATCCCCACTCAACTGCAAGCTCTATGTGCTTACAATATATATCTATACTATTACCCCAGCAGCAGACCTGAGAGCATTCTGAAAGAACCTCAACTTCCTGGGAAGAATACAGTGCAAGCAGCCTTCTATAGGCGCTAAAACAATAACATACTGACAAGATCGTTCGCTTTCTATGGCCGGGCACCTATACCCACCTGGACGAAGTGAGAAAAATTCGTGTAAAGTGCCTTTCCCAAGGACTCAATGTCGGGCCCGCTGCTCGAACCCCCGAACTCGCAACCTCACGATTACGAGTCAGGTAGCTTAACACCACTAGGCCATCGACGCCAATAAAACAAATAAACAAAAAAATCCTTTCTTATTTCTTATAAACAAAATACATTGGAAGGGGATGGGGTGCAACGTTTGTCATCTTTAGCTCTCCTTCCACCAATTGGTTTACTCTACTGACAGTAATGCTGATTGTTATTATTATCATTGTTGTTGTTGCTGTTCTCCTCTCCACTCACAGGGCCATTATGTAAGCTTACAGACTATGTGGAAGTCGTCTGCGAAGAGGAAAACAGTGACCAACATCACATCCCTTCCTGTAGAACGCAGTCTGTCAAGTCATGTGACCAAGATACGACGTCCGGTTCAAGACCTGGTTGTAAAGAATTATTAGAGGTTTGCTTCTTTTTCCTCTAAATATGTGTTAAATTTTTTTCTTTTTTTTTTTCATTTAATGAAAATATGGCTGTCTGATCAAAGGAATATTTGAAGCATAATGGCATTTGAGATTCTTGTTCATGACAATTTAACTTTTTTTAAAATCAGGTTTTTATTTGAACCGGAGAACAAGGCGTTGTACCGTACTGTGTCTTAGGCCCTAACTTTATTATTACTAGCAATCTCTCTCCTTTCTTCTCTCTTTCTGTTGATAATTTTGCATCTCTCCCTGTTCTCCTCGTTTCCCTTTCCATTCTGTAGGCTCCGCATCTGGTACAAGTTAACAATGATAATGGTAACTTATATAGCACCTTGCTTAGAATCTCTAACTCTAAGCACTATACAAGTTCTCTCAGTGGGTGGTTGGTGAGTGCTCTGGTGTGGTTTGCTCCTTCTTTCCTGTCAAACATCTATGGTCATTTTCTTTCCTCCTTCCTTTATTTGTATTTCACATTTGGTAACAGCTCGAATATTGCGAGCACTGCAAAACTCTTATTAAACTGAAAAGCTAAAAATGTTGGGCATTTATTTGACCTATTTTTTTTGCTAGTACTGTAAAACTCTTACTAAAAACTAAAATTCTCTCAAACTTTACTTCCTCCACCACAGTGGATGGCTGGGGGGTGCTTTGGTATGGTTTGTTCCTTCTTTCCTAACATCTATTCTGCTGAAAGCTGACAAAACGACTTTTTTCATTTTGGCACCTAAAATTTTTATTTGCTAAATTGAAAGCCTGATCAGTTTCCCTACTTGTGTGAAAAAAATCAGAGTGAGTCTATCACAAGTTTTTGAATAAACTAGAATTCGAATTTCGGAAGCACTCTATTTTTCAATGGTTACGCAGCGGCAGCGCTGCTGATAAAAAACTTTTTTTCTCGAAACTGCTGTGAATTTTTTTTTAAAGACGTTTTGTCAGCTCACGGCAGTGTTGTACTTTTCTCTTTTTCTTCTTCTTTTATGTATTTTACTCTTGTATCAACCTTAATATTCTTCACTGAAAAAGCCTATTTGTGTTGCAAGTACCATAAAACTCTTACTGAAACTAAACTCCTCCACCAGATGGCGCTGTCAGGCTGCCAGCCTCAGTGCGCCAGTGGAGGACGGTGTGTGGACGGCAAGTGTGTGTGTCCGCCCGGTGTCACAGGGGGAGCTTGTGAAGAAGGTAATGTACAAGTACAGTAACGTATGCTAGGATAACAAATACACGAACAATGGCATCACTTAGAAGTGGCCCCCATGTGATTTTTCAGCATACTTTTATTAGATGCTTGGGATTAAGATGAAGAATTGTTTCCAAATTGAGATGTGATGCTCCGCTCATTTTCAGGTGTTTTTTTTGCCAAAATCATTTGGCATCCCTGTGTGTTCACCTCTCGTCTCCTGGTCCATGGATCCAAACCTACAAGTGATGGAAAATAGTTACAGTCCGTGTCGGCTTTAAGCACGCCGGCATAAAGCACGTTTCAGATTCAAGCACGCTAAACGGCCCTTACCGAATTTTTGCTATATATAAATTACACGCCTTAAAGCACGGTAACTTCGGCTTCAGGCACGCTCCATACAAAACAGTCAGTACTTTCATGATGACCTATCAAAGTTCGAACACAGTCTACACCGCAGCAGTGGAGTGTGTTAAGAGAAACACAGAATGCAAGTGATGGAGACACACACACACACACGCGCGCGCGCGCGCGGAGAGGAAGGCAGAGAGACGCACACAGTGTGTAGGCCTAGTGTGCTGTATCGTGACTGGCCGTCTAAATTAAGTTTTCATTTCCCATTCGACCACAAAACAAAAGCAAACAAAAAAACAAAAACTACCATGGCGGGTAAAAATAACTGTGCACTGTTTTGCTGGACCGCTACAGGCGTACTTACAAACAAAGGGAAATAGCACGGGAAATTTTCTACATGAAAATCTCTGGATTATGTCTACTTCGGCGTTAAGCACGCTAAAGTTTTCTCCCGATGACCGTGCTTAAAGCCGGCATGGACTGTACTTCTCTAGGATTTTTTCTTTTGCCCTCTTTTGTCCTTCTTTCCCCTTCACTCACCTGCTTTCATCTCCACTGTCTCCCCCCTCCCCCCCTCCCCACACCCGAGACCTATGTGCGATTCCCGTTTCTACTGTTCTGCTGTCTTTCAGCTGCATCCTTGATCTGAATGTAGGTAAGATTGAAGACCTAACCTTCTTGGAAAAGGATGAAAAATCTCAGAGGTCCCGAGTACAAGTTGCGCACGTCAAGGTCCCTTGGTGGTCCTATAATCTATAAATAGAGTAGGCTTCAGCTGCTATATGGGCAAAGTTCAAAATTAATTCCTGGCAAGTACAGGGTGATCCCCAAAAAACCAGTACAACTTTTAAAAAAATTATTTTCCTCCACACTGAAGTTTTGAATTTCAAATTTGTACACAGCACTTGGAAGTCAATGGGACTTTGTCTGATATTCATTAAAAATAAATCCACAGAATAGTTTTGCTCTACACAGCGCGTAACAGCTATGTCCCCATTTTTGTAGCATGACGCACAAGTTCGCATTGGGCATACCACTGAAAATCCCATCGATTGCGCCATATAGCAAGTACTACAGTAGTCTAACAGGCCAACAAAAGTTTGCAGATAGTTTTTCTCAAGTTTCCTTTGCCTGCTGAGATCATGGTTTAGATCAGTAAAGAGCAGAGAGATTTTTGTATTGAACAGTTCCGCACCGCCAACTCATTTTGTAAGTTTCACACAAGGTACGGAAATACTGTTAAAGTCCCCTTAAGGCGTTCTTTGATGTCAAGGGTGGAAATGGTCCATCACTTAGGGTCGGTAAGGAATCAGAACTAAAAATTCCCAGACAAAACAACCACTTCAGGTCAAACACACATCATTCGAACCCATTTAAACAAGGGTGCAGAATTCAGTAGATGAGCCCCATGAAATGTCTGTCCTTAGACAATGTCTGCAACAATGACTTTTCTATCTCTCAACGGTCTGCATTCTAAGGCTGATTTTCATCTCCGACTGTACTGTTCGCGTAGCTCTCAGAGTATAGCAATGCATTCATGATTCCTCAATCGTCTTGAAAGCTCTAAGTTTGGTGAAGGCTCAATATATTCATGTGCACTTGAACAGAAATGTTGTTCGGTATTCATTGTGCCATAAAAGGTGTTATTGAGTTATTCACCAGCTATTGTGTTTCCAATCTACGAGTATTCTTAATCTCTTTGTAAAATGTTTGTGAGTATGTGAACACACATGCATGAAGTTGAATATCATCATGCTCTTGCCCTTTTATATTATGTAAGCAACACTTATATTATAGTCATCAATGTATTCATGTACACTTGAACAGAAATAGTGTTCATTTGGTCGCTTCTAAGGACAAGCAGGCTAACCCAGATTTTGGCGGTTTCCCGAAATCTTGACCTACACCAAAAGTGGGCATTGCCCTACCTTTTGGAGAAGTTTGGCTTCGTTGGTGTGGTTTTATAGAGAAAACTCTCCTTGTCTTAGAAACTGAACAAGGGGCAAAAACTTTACATTCGATTTTCTCAAAACATCATTTTTCGTGATAGCCCCCTTGTGCTTAAAAGCGACCATTTATTCTCCCACAAAAGTTATTACACTCCAGCTATTGTTATTCCAATCTATTGTTTATTTATTTGCAGAATATATGTTATAACACAATGAGTATGTAAACGCTTATGCGTGAAGTTGAATATCATGCTCTTTCCCTTATATATAAATGAGCAAAAATTAGAACGGTATGTTTGTTTATCTACCAGACATTAACGAATGCCAAGAACTCCCGGAGAACTTTTGTGAAAATGATTGCGTCAACACGTTTGGAAGCTTTGAGTGTACATGTCCTTTTGGCTCAACTCTGAACAATGATAGGAGAACTTGCAAAGGTAAAAGAGGCACAACTCTTCCTTATGGTTGTGCTTTTGTTATTTAATTTATCGGCTTATTTTGATTGCTAACCTTCATTTAAATACCCTCTTTCTACATTATACACACACACACACACACACACACACACACACACACACACACACACACACACACACACACACACACACACACACACACAT